GCCATCCTGCAAGACGGCTCTGTGGTGACTTGGGGCCTTTCAGAATGCGGCGGTGACAGCAGCCAGGTGCGGGGGCAGCTAGTGCGCGTCCAGTGGATTCAAGCAACTGGGAGAGCTTTTGCTGCCATCCTGCAAGACGGCTCTGTGGTGACTTGGGCCTCTCAGAATGCGGTGGTGATTTCAGCCAGGTGCGGGGGCGGTTAGTGCGCGTCCAGTGGATTCAAGCAACTGGGAGAGCTTTTGCTGCCATCCTGGACGATGGCTCTGTTGTGACTTGGGGCGCACCCGACTTTGGCGGAGACAGCAGCCAGGTGCAAGAACAGTTGGCGCGGGTCCAGCAGATTTAAGCAAGCGAAAGTGCTTTTGCAGCCATCCTGGACGACGGTTCTGTGGTGACTTGGGGTGATCCTGAATATGGCGGCGACAGCAGCCAGGTGCGAGTGCAGCTGGTGCGGGTCCAGTGCATCCAAGCAGCTGCTAGTGCTTTTGCTGCCATCCTGCAAGACGGCTATGTGGTGACTTGGGGCCATCGTGGCCATGGCGGTGACAACAGGCAAGTGCGAGAGAGGTTGGTGCGAGTCCAGCAGATCCAAGCAACTCGGAGAGCGTTCGCTGCCATCCTGCAAGACGGCTCTGTGGTAACTTGGGGCAGCCCTTGGAGTGGCGGTGACAGCAGCCAGGTGCAAGATCTCTTTGTGCGGGTGCAGCAGATCCAAGCCACGCACCGTGCATTTGCTGCCATCCTGGCTGACGGCTCTGTGCTGGCTTGGGGCGATCCGGACAATGGCGGGGACAGGCGTCAGATTCAGTCTCAACTCGACTTGAAAGAGCCGCCTTGCCTTGCGGTAGGGGATGTGACTTGTGCTGTTTGTTTCTGTTTAACTAGTGGTAGCCCCGTGGATTCTAACATTTCCGTGAGGTTGATACATTCTATTTCCACCAGCGTCGCCTTGGCTTGCCAAAAGGCATGCACGAGCACCGAAAATCTGCACAGCCAAGCTCAATGAGCGGTTCTTTTCAAGCGCTCAGTGTATGAGCCCATCATGCCTTCATTATGGGAAAGCGAGTCTATATATATATGTATATAATCAGGCTGTGATCTATTGGTTGCACCTGGGGCCATTGTCTTTGGATGCAACAAGTGCAAGAAGCTCCTACCGCAAACAGTTTGGAAGCGTTGCTAAGCTTCTTCGAATCCCCACTCCTTATCGCACGCAGGGGAGGCACTCCTAATAAGCCGCCATTCCCCACACATAGCCCCCTTTGGTAGAATTAGAAGGAAAGGGCTGTGGGCCAGGATTTTCCTAGTTAGGGATGGGGATTTCTTGTGGGTTCTTCAATGATTTGGCCAAGTCACAATTGTAACTGGTGGGAGTGCCAATCGCGCATCTCGCATGTTGGCTTGCGGTTTTCACATCGACAGTCTCCCCAGAGCTCCAGTCACCCTTTCAAAGTCGGGGGCGAGGCAGCCAAATTGAAATACTAGCGGCTTGGGAGGATTTCGGCTGCTCAGGCACGGGATCACCATCCGCCTGGCCAGATCTGCGAAGCCCGGCGACGCCTGTGGCCAGCGCCACCGACCCACCGCACGCCGCGAATGCCAGACGCAGGTCTTGGTGCAAGAGGTTGCCCAGCCCGGTGGCACCTTTTCCTCCTTCTTTTTTTTGGGAGGGCTTGAAGGGTTCCCTGTGGAATCCACCAGCCTGAGCAGGAAGCCTTGATTTTTTGTTTAGCTTCGACCGGGATTTGGGCTCCAGGGGGGGTGGGGTCTTGAGCAACGTGGCACCGAACTGGGCTGCCATTTTTTCCCATGGCCGGCCTGAGGAGGGCTACGCGGCGGTGCTGGACAAACCGGCCGGCGCCACCACGGAGGAAGTCATCGAAGATTTCCAGGCCAGGAGCCGCCCGGCTGCATCGCTATGCCTATGGAGCCCGGCGGCCACATGGGTATGGGTCAACATTAAACCACCAAGGGACCGCACGTTTTAGTCCTTGGTTCTATTTGCCAGGGTTCCATTTTGGATACCTAATTTTGACCCACAGCCACATGAACTAGGAACGGTGACAAGGCAAAGGTGATAGACGCACAACTCAGAGCATTTTTCAAGGGTTATTGCCTACTGGCTCCTTGGATTTGAGTGAAAGGGGACAAATAGCTGGACCGCCTAAGTATTGTGGCGGGTCTAATTGTATCTCTGAGGCAACTTGGCGTACAAGATTCAGAGCGTCTCAAGGCTGGATGCACCCACCTCGGGCGCTCTTGTGGTGCCTCTTTCACCGGAAGCAGAGCTGGAGCTGAAGCAGGACTTCACTAACAGACAGGCCTGCCAAGGTTTGGATTTTGACCGGGGAGCCACCAAAACAAGTAGTAGCCTTGATTCCGTGGGCCTTGCGAACCACCCTAGAATGAGTATAGCAGAAAACAAGTTGGGGTTTCCTCCAAACAATAGATCAGCCTGCTTCAATATATAGATGACGCTGGTTGCAGGTTCCTTCGAATCATTTGCCACTGCCATCCATTTTGCCTGTAATCTGCCATGTATATGGCGAGCTCACGTTGGGTTCATGGCAAAGATCCTTTGTTTGGGGATCCCAAACTTCAGGTTTTTGACACATGGCTGTGGGTCAAAAATAGATTCCCAAAATGGGTTGCCCTGGTAAGTGGCAACATGGAGCAAAACCAGTGGTCCGATTCCTGGTTTAATTTTGACCCATACCCATGTTGTACAACTTGCAGATGTAATCCGAAGAGATCCTCGGAGCCCGGGCAGGTGAGGAAGGCCTACCTGGCCCTCGCCATCGGCGAAGCCCCAGAGCATGGCACCATCGACACGAAGCTGCGGTCCGTGCAGTCCGTAGATAGGCAGCGGTTCGGTCAAGGTGTGCAGGAAATGGTTCATTTGGGGGGAACATGGCGGAACCTCAGCAAATGTCCCGTGCCAAGGAAACGTCCGATGGCTCAAATCATGGCGAGCTCCTAAAGTTTGACACGCTTTGCCACAGGGGAAGGGAGTGTGACTCTAGGTGTAGCAGTTTGGACCTTTGGTCGTCCATTGCGGCCTATGGCTTTTTTGCGTCCTGTGTCAAACCGTTGCCCGAAGGTTTCCGGAGTAGTGGAAGCCGTCTTTGTGTTGGTGTGTCCCTACATCCATTCACAAAATCGAATCCTAACACGCTTGTTCCGAGGGATTCCTCAAGAACTCTTATAGAGAAGCTGTGCTACATGCTTGGTGCCTTGGGTTTCCACAGGTTTTCGGGTTACTTCCCCTGAGGTACCGTGCCGTGGTGCATCCCTACGGCAAGCCGGCGGTCACTGTGTTCCAGCGCCTTTGCCGACTGCCAGGCGACCAGCATCAGGACCAATTCTCTGGGCGTGTTCAAACGGAAAAGGTGGTAGGCCAGTGAGCTTGATGTTCTTTTTTGGTGTGTTGTTCCGATGTTGTTCTTCTGAGGCTGATTTTGATGTTTGAGGCTCGGATGGCAGAAAGGTCTTTTTTGTTGCTGGTCCAATCGCAGCCGCTGCATCAGCACAAAAAATGATATCAGCTCGGCCCACCGCCTTGCAATTGCAAGAGGCACGACTCACCAAAACGATTGCCTAACCACCCGCTGGATGCATTTTCTAAAGCAGCAATTGATGAATACCGCGTCCGCGTATTCCCAATCCCTACACTGAGCCTGGTGGGCATGCCTGGGCACTTTCCAAATCCCTTGATCCGGGCGCGCTTTAGGACTGCTACTCCTTGGTCTTGGCCTGGCCCTTGACGGGCCGCATGCATCAGATCCGCGCCCACTTCGCCCACCTGGGCTTTCCTTTGGCCGGGGATCACCGCTACACGCCGCGGAAAGACGCCACGGCCGGGTATTGGTCAGACAAAGCGGCCGGGGGAATTTGAGTGGTGAAGGTGAAGCCAGCTGCTTTGTGGTCATTTGGTTGGATCTTTGGACTTTAACTTTTGTGGAAACAGGTCAGATGTTCCATTGGACGAAACAGTGGTTTTTGTTTCTTGCACAGGGGTCAACAGCAACCAAGGTTGGATAAAGGCGCAAGATTTTGCCCTTCTCTTGGATACGGTCTGTGGGATGCTTGGAGCCTTTGAATCCAGAATCCACAAGAACATGCAGCAAGCGTTGGCTGGTCAGGAGGCTTTACTTGTGCCCGCATCATGTATAGGCAATTTCCTTGCAACACGTTGAACATGCGTCCAATTTGCTTCTTTCTGCCTGTGCTTGCTTCCAGCTGGTTATTCAGTTCTCCTGCTATGAGTCACCTCATTAGGTTTTAAGATTCTGCACTCTTGGCCCGAGGCTAAGACATGTAATTATCCACTGAGAAACTATGCGGCTACCATCTCATGCTTGCCTTTTGCATGGGATTGCTTGTTGGGAGTCAGGGATGGTCTTTTTAGAGCACCTTATTTCCTTGTTTGACAAATCTACAAGCCGTCTTCCAGGGCATGTTTCCCTTGGAGGTATGCCAATCTTCTCCCCCAACATGTGTGGTAAAGTAAACAGATTTCACCGGCTTCAGAGGATCCAAGCCCCCCCTTCCCTCTCAAACAAGCCTGACTCAAATTAAGTATGGCAGTAGGGTTCTGATTTAAGAGAAGCAGAAGGGAAGTCCAGGGAGGACCAGCGTTCCCGCAACCTGTGTTTCAGGCCTGGTGTGGGGGTCGGCTCTTCCTGCACGCGGCCTATGTGGCGGTTGGCTCCGGCTCGGGCCTGCAGGCGGTGTGTCCACTGAAGGAGGACCTCAAAGCGCCCTTGGCCGCGCTGGGCGCGGAGGACCAGCTCTTGGCTGAGCTGGAGACCCTGGAGTTCTACGAAGCCAGAGGCGCCCGAAACGGGCTTTGCCCCACGGAAAGGGCGGAGGATGGCTCTGTGGATACGTGTTTGTTGGGAGTCTTTGCCCCCCCTTTTTCATGGCAAGGGCGCAAAAGGCTGCAAAGTGATGGTTTTGTTTGTTTCTGGGCGAGTTGCAAGATATGATGTGTTTGGGTTAGGCAGCCAGGGTTGGTGCAGTGTGCAGCATGGTTGGCAATCAAAATAATTAACATGAGCATGATTGACGAGACCCATGTGACGTGACCTTTCGGACCCGACATGCTGAAGAACACTATGAATTATGAATTATCAATTAAACCACGCGCAGTGGAACATATGCCGGTGTCCTTTCCTTGGGGGGGGGTCTTGTTGGTTAGTGTTGGTGATATTTCCTTTTGACCCCCCAAAAGTGACCTCCAAACTGGTTTGGAGTCCACAGAGCCGCTTCCATTTGGCGAGGGCCTGGAGGCAGTGGCAGTTGCTACGATAGCTCAGCTGCCTGGCAGAAAAGTCGATACCCTCATCCCTTGGCCCGAAGAAAGGGCTGGGCTCCGCTAATCCCACAAAGGAGTACCCTTCAGAAATAGGCACACCCACCTCGAACTTCCCCTTCCAAAGGGTTGTTTTCATTTGGCCATGGGTCAAAATCCAAATCGTCCCCCCAGTGAACATGCCAATCCCGACTAAAATCGGTTCTAAAATGGGCGGTGAATTCACTTACCAACCAAAATGGGATCTCAAAACGGCAAATGACCACCACGGCCATTTGCCAGAGCCAACGCAACTGGGGGATTGGGACTTTGCATTCCGAGGACAGCAGCGACCTGGAGGCTGTTCTCTGCAAGGACCTCCAGGACCTTTGGTGCTTCTTTGGGCCATTTGGTAAGTGCTCACTCCAGTTTTGTGTTGGTTTTTGTCGGGTAGGGGGTGGTCATCAATGTTTTCATTAGGGTTGAGCAGAATGAGTCCGGGATGTTTGCATGGATGGAGATTCACATAGGCCGTAAAGTCAGGGTTGCCTGCTTTGTCTGGAGGCTGTAACACTACCGTCAGAGCCATTGCAAGGCGAGAGTCTCATAGAGTTGTGTATGGAGCGGAGGTATGGGGATCCCTGAACTTGGACATTCGGGTACTCTTGTGTGACAGTATTGCAGCCATATGCTCTCAAGACAGCACGAGGGACGATGGCTGACTTTAAGCTGATGCAAGGCCATTCTGAAGGATTCCCTTGTGAGGGAAAATGCTGCAAAGGATCCAAGTGATTACAGCCCCCTCCTGCAAAGCAGCCCCTGCGACTTTTTGCGCGAAGCGCTTCGGCACGTCACGGAGGCTTTACATGTGTGTAGGCCCATGGTTGATGCCACGCCGCGCGTTGTTCATTTGCACCTGCAACCTTTGTGGGGTGGTGCCGCTGAGCTGGACAATTACCGCGCATCATTGTCTGGTCCCAGGGACGCCCCTCGGCTTTGCATGCCTTCCTTTAGCGGCAGCACCAAAAACCGAAACAGCAACAACAACGACAACAACAACAACAACAACAACAACAACAACAACAACAACAACAACAACAACAACAACAACAACAGCAGCAGCAGCAGCAGCAGCAGCAGCAACAACAGCAACAACAGCAACAACAACAGCAGCAGCAACAACAACAGCTACTACTACTACTACTGCAACTACTACTGCTACTCCTACTACTACTACTACTATCACGAGTACTACTACAACCACAACCACAAAACCACCAACGACAACCAGCAACCAGCAACCAACAACCAACAACCAACAACACACAACAGCCACGAACCAGCAACCACCAACCGACATCCAACAGCCTGCAACTGCAAGAACAGGATCTCAAGCAACAACAGCAACAACAACAATAACAAAAAAACGAGCAATACCAAGAGAAGCAACATATCATCAACAACAACGACGACGACGACCATGACGACGGCGACAGCACCAAAAGCAACACCAACACCAACACCAACACCAACAACGTCAACCACAACAACAACAACAACAACAACAACAACAACAACAACAGCAGCAGCAGCAGCAGCAACAACAACAACAACAACACCAACAGCAACGACAACGACAACGACCACGACAACAACAGCCACAACAACAACAACAACCACAACCACAACCACAACGACAACGACAACGACCACGACAACGACAACGACAACGAGAACGACAACGACAACGACAAACAACGACAAACAAGGGTGGTGGAACGCCTCGCCGCTGTGGAAGGCAAGCGAAACCCCAACACAAGAACATCGACCGACATCGCCCGTCCCCCACGCCTGCCACGTTCTCTCTCGCAGCCAATGATTCAGCAAAATGCCTTTTATATGGGTTTTCGCAGGGCAGATTCCCAAAAAGAAGTATTTCGCCTAGGCGAAACAACCGTTTAGCATCCCCTCCTCAAACGTCGAAAAGTTTTCGGACCTGTTTGCGCGCAGATATGACATGATACGCTTGAGCGGGTGTGCCTATCATGTGCCAGCATGTGCGCACTTATGACACGATGCGCGTGAGCGTCAGCGCACTTCTAACATGATGAGCGGGTGTGCTTATCATGTGCCAGCATGTGTGCACTTATGACGCGATGCGCGTGAGCGGGTGTGCTTATCATGTGCCAGCATGTGTGCACTTATGACACGATGCGCGTGAGCGGATGTGCTTATCATGTGCCAGCATGTGCGCACTTATGACACGATGCGCTTGAGCGGGTGTGCCTATCATGTGCCAGCATGTGCGCACTTATGACACGATGCGCGTGAGCGTCAGTGCTTATAATGTGCCAGCATGTGTGCACTTACAACATGATACGCGGGAGCGGGCGTGCTTAACATTTGGCCAGCATGCGCGCAGATATAACATGACGCGCTTGAGCGGGTGTGCTTATCATGTGCCAGCATGTGTGCACTTCTAACATGATGAGCGGGTGTGCTTATCATGTGCCAGCATGTGTGCACTTATGACGCGATGCGCGTGAGCGGGTGTGCTTATCATGTGCCAGCATGTGTGCACTTATGACACGATGCGCGTGAGCGGATGTGCTTATCATGTGCCAGCATGTGCGCACTTATGACACGATGCGCGTGAGCGGCTGTGCTTATCATCTGCCACATGTGTGCACTTATGACACGATGCGCGTGAGCGTCAGTGCTTATCATGTGCCAGCATTTGTGCACTTATGACACCATGCGCGTGAGCGGGTGTGCTTAACATTTGGCCAGCATGCGCGCAGATATAACATGATGCGCTTGAGCGGGTGTGCTTATCAAGTGCCAGCATGTGTGCACTTCTGACATGATGAGCGGGTGTGCTTATCATGTGCCAGCATGTGTGCACTTATGACGCGATGCGCGTGAGCGGGTGTGCTTATCATGTGCCAGCATGTGTGCACTTATGACACGATGCGCGTGAGCGGATGTGCTTATCATTTGCCAGCATGTGCGCACTTATGACACGATGCGCGTGAGCGGCTGTGCTTATCATCTGCCACATGTGTGCACTTATGACACGATGCGCGTGAGCGGCTGTGCTTATCATGTGCCAGCATTTGTGCACTTATGACACCATGCGCGTGAGCGGGTGTGCTTAACATTTGGCCAGCATGCGCGCAGATATGACGTGATACGCATGAGCGGGTGTGCCAAAAGTGAAGACAGTTGCACGGCGGCGAGGAGTCCCACCCTGCACAAACAACAACAACAACAACAACAACAACAGCACCGACAGCAGCACCAACGGCAACAACAACAACCACAACAACAACAACAACACCAACAACAACACCAACAACAACAACAACAACAGCACCAACAGCAGCACCAACAGCAGCACCAACGGCAACAACAACAACCACAACAACAACAACAACAACAACAACAACAGCAGCACCAACAGCAGCAGCAACGGCAACAACAACCACAACAACAACAACAACAACAACATCAACAACAACAGCACCAACAGCAGCACCAACGGCAACACCAACAACCACAACAACAACAACAACACCACCAACAACAACAACAACACCAACACCAACAACACCAACACCAACAACAACAACACCAACACCAACAACAACAACAACAACAACAACAACAACAACAACAACAACAACAACAACAACAACAACAACAACAACAACAACAACAACAACAACAACAACAACAACAACAACAACAACAACAACAACAACAACAACAACAACAACAACAACAACAACAACAACAACAACAACAACAACAACAACAACAACAACAACAACAACAACAACAACAACAACAACAACAACAACAACAACAACAACAACAACAACAACAACAACAACAACAACAACAACAACAACAACACCACCACCAACAACAACAACAACAACAACAACAACAACAACAACAACCACAACCACAACCACAACAACAACAACAACAACAACAACAACAACAACAACAGCACCAACAGCAGCGCCAACGGCAACAGCAACAACCACAACAACAACAACAACAATAAAAAAACAACAACAACACCAACAACAACAACGGCAACATCACCAACAGCAGCACCAACGGCAACAACAACAACCACAATAACAACAACCACAACAACAACAACAACAACAACAAAAACAACAAAAACAACAACAGCACCAACAGCAGCAGCAACGGCAACAACAACAACCACAACAACAACAACAACAACAACAATAACAACAACAACAACAACAACAACAACAACAACAACAACAACAACAACAACAACAACAACAACAACAGCAACCACAACAACAGCAACCACAACAACAACAACAACAACAACAACATCAACAACAACAACAACCACAACAACAGCACCAACAGCAGCACCAACAGCAGCAACAACAACAACAACAACCACAACAACAACAACAACCACAACAACAACAACAACAACAACAACAACAACAACAACAACAAGAACAAGAACAAGAACAACAACAAGAAGAACAAGAACAACAACAACAGCAGCAGCAGCAACAACAAGAGCAACAGCAGCAGCAGCAGCAGCAGCACCAAAGGCAGCAGCAGCAGCAACGGCAACAACAACAACAACAACAACAACAACCACCACCACCACCACCGCCACCGCCACCGCCACCGCCACCGCCACCGCCACCGCCACCGCCACCGCCACCGCCACCGCCACCGCCACCGCCACCGCCACCACAACCACAACCACAACCACTGCTAAAACCACAACCACAACCACAACTACAACCACAACCACAACCACAGCTACAACCACAACCAAAGCCACAACCACAACTACAACCACAACCACAACTACAACCACAACCACAACCACAACGACAACCACAACCACAACCACAGCAACAACGACGACAACAACGGCAACAGCAACACCAGACCTGCTGGAGTCAATTTACAGTGTTAAGTTAAGTGCGTTGTAGTTGCACCGCGCCTCCTTCGAACCAATCCAATTGGATCTGAGTTATCAACCAGGTCAATTACGTTAAACATACTTACCCTCAATAAAAGGTACTTTCCCTTGGGGTTCTCTTGTCAGGCGTGTTCACATGTTGGAAACACCACCTTCTTGACCCATTGAAGCGTCCTTCAACGGTCAAGCATCACCACCTGGTAGACGAGGCAGGCGCATCCACCCCCGAAGGGCGCAGAAGAAGACGGCCGGATTTTCCGGTGCAATGGGGATTTGGAGCCTTGTGCAGGCTCAATCCCCCAGAAAGCCAAGACCAAACGAGGGAGGTGGCCACATAAATCCTACGAGCCCACCATCCCCCATCGGCCGCTTGAGGCCATCC